ATATTCCCCCAAATGGGGTGAGAAAAGTTAAGGAAAGAAAAACCCGATTTAGTGAATTCATACAGAAAAACCAGTAGCACTTTGCCTTTGAGTCTTTTGAAAGATCTTAGGTGGAGAAGGATTGAGTGGCTTTAATGAGTTGTTTTTTTTTTTTTTTTTAAAGGTGTCCCACCCCTCCCTTCCCAGTCCACCCCAGGAATCTTCCTTGACAGGGAAATAAATAAATAAATAAATGAAAAGATGCAGGCTGTGAATGGAGAAATGTCATGAAAGAAATGTTCTATTTTGCTTGTTTCATGATCACAGACAGACAAGGGAAAATGTTTTTTTTTTTTTTTGGAAACAGATGCTAGTCTCTTTAGGGTTGATTTGCCCAAGATGCCCGCCCGACGCAGCCCTCCCCCGCACCCAGGAGGACAGGGAGTTCCGTCCACCCACTTGACCTCCTTTGTTTTCCACTCGGTGACGTGGGAAGGACAGGTTCCTAGATAAAGCCCTAAATCGAGGTCTCTTGCAGCCTCTGCAGCCTTGGGGCTTCTGGTTACGGCTTTATAAGGCATTTGCATCCGATTGCTGCTCCCTTACTGGTAGTAAATAAGGATGATTAAACTTTTCATTATGATAACACCCCACAGTTCCATCTGCACATGTTGTATAAGTAGGTACACAGAGCCTTCAACAGGCCCCCCGAGTCCCCCGGCTGAAAATCACAGTGAAGTGTGCCACTTTGAAATTGAGTAAAAAAAACCAAAAAACCAAAAAAACAAAAAAGAAACACCAACACCATTAAAGTAAAATGTCCCGCTTTTCCTTGAACACATGCCTATGTGTTCCCGTCAGCCGGGGAGCAGTGGCGTCCAGTGGCTTTGAGTAATACCTTCCCTGGGGCCCAGCCCCAGCAAGCACTTCCCTCCCCCTGGCAAAGCCCACTTTTGTAATGATATTTTATTTTGTCACGCCGTAAAACACGCCAGTACTAATGTGATTAAATATTAACACCGTTTCTGAAATTCTTCGCTCCGATGACAAAATACTAGTCGGTATTTAACAAAATGACCCATGCTCAGATCCGAGAGAAGGAATACGTCTTCAGAGCTGCACGAGCCGGGTAGCCACTGGGACGTGCCCAGCGTGTCTTATGGGGTTCAGATGCCCTTCAGAGGGGAGGAAACTCCACTGGCAAGTTGCAGTTCTGGGAAAGTCTAGGCCAGCATGACATGTGATTACGATTTTTTTTTTTCTAAACCAGGAAAGCGAGTCTCTCCAAATCACGCTTCCCCTGACTTCTTAATCAACCCACCGAACAACTTTTATATAATGAAACTCTACATCTCATCATGAGGCCCCGTTTGCACAAAGTTGGAGTGGGGGGGAAGGGTGAGGTTGTGCAAAGGGGGAAACACACACACACACACACACACACACACACACACAAAGCCCCCAGCCTGCGTTTGGGCCTATTCAGGCATCCATGACATCAGTGAGGTTGCCATGCATTTGAAATGAGTTTGCAGAATTGTCCACCTATCTTCGTAATAGATGTGTGGCCATGGAGGAATTTCAAAACTGATAAAGAACTCGAAATAATGCTAGATTGCAGATGAAGGAGAGATTGTAGGAAACAGTATGCTTCTCCCCCTCCTCCTGCCTCTTCCCCCAGAATTTTCAAAACTGGAATTCACCATATTCTGTTACAAGTCGATCCTGGCCAAACTTCCATTCCGTGGGATGCTCTCTCTCTATCTTAAAATCGGGAGCAGTCTAGAAACGCTCTTTCACATACATGGAAGTGGGAGAGGTCTCTGTCTTCGCCCTGCACGCAATCCTGCCCTTTTGGGAAGTAGGACATGTCTACAGTGATGCGGGAGAAATTTTTGGAATTTCACGCTCCCCTCAGCGTTCCAGTCGGAACACAGTAGAACGGTGCTGAGAAATCCGAGGCGGGCGGGATTTGAACACCGAATTTTCCTTTAGACATGGGGCGGGCTGGGGGACGGAGGGGGGCTCCGAACCGTTTCCCCCACTCCCCCACACCTTTGGAGAGCTTTTTCAGGCTCACGCCACCTTGTCTGGGGCAAGGCAAAGGAGCCTTGCATTCTCATCTCCCTGTGAAAGCATCCAGCCAGGGCCGCATGCCTCCATGTGACTTTTTGCAGCCTCCGGAAGATGTAACCCAAAACTTCGCAGGTGTTAATCGGGGGGTAATGTAAACAGGAGCCCCCTTTGTGCAGCTGACGTGGGGGCCTGCCTGCTCCCTGGCTAGTCCGGGACATACTACTACTGTGCTTGGTGCTTGTTTAATATTTCATGGCTGTAATAAACCTGTCTTCTTTGCCCGCCTCCCGACATAAAACCCCAACCCCGCACACATCTGCAATTATACATTTCCACTAAATATTAATAAAGGACAAGGATGTTTTCAGGGGCTGAAAGCTTCTTAGTGTAGAGCTTGCTATGGTTTCGGCCCTGGATTTTTTTTTTTTTCTGGCTGTTTTGCTTTTAAATAGCCACCGCCTTCTAATATGTAACATATACTTATGTATTCTCCTCTGTGTAAATATATACTTTTTTTTTTTGCAGATGGGAGGGTTTTCCTCAAGGATAGCTTTCTTTAATATAAATTCATTTAGATGTCTTGGGAGGCCCCCCTTCAGTCCCGGAAGTAAGAGACTGTTGAAATGGACTTCTTATTTTATTGAGGTTTCTAGGAAAGGAGTGAGGCTTGGTTAATCTAATTTCTCTTTCTAGCAATGAAAGTCTATGGTTCCTGATACGATTTCGTTTGCCTGACAGAGGTATTTAAATTTCCGCAAAGAATCTTAATGGGTCCCGAAAATCGGGCTGCCCTCGCCAAGAAGTTACTCGATACTCCAGGCTGATAGGAAATCTGCATCTTTCATAAATATTCGGGCGAGGACCCGGTGAAATTAGAGGGAGGAAAATTCCTCCCACCGTGGAAGTCTATATCCTTGGAATGTCACAGGCATCTCCTGAGCCCAGTGCATGCTGGAAGGTTTAGCAGAATCACCGTTCTCTCCACTAGAGTGACAGTAACTTTGGGTCGTGTTCTGTGCCCTGCGAGTGATCTCCTTTGCCCACAGCACTCAGCAGATAAACGCTCCTAGGAAGGAAGACGGCATTTAGCTCTGTTGAGTTCATTGTAGAGATTAAAAGGCTATGGCATCATGTCATAGGATCACATGTTTTGGGCGGTCGCCCAAGCCCACTGCAACATAAAAACACCGGAACCCTCTCATGCGGGGTTGGGGGGGATCTGGGTTTATGGGGGGGCCCCTGTAACCAGTGGGTGCACCTTCTAGCCTTTCCTTGCTGCTCCCCCACCTGCTCATTCCCCCTGGGTTCATCGCGCTGCCTCCAGTTGGGATTTTGACTCGCCCAGCGATGTGTTTGTTTTAGGACGATGTCTATTTTTAGGCGTTTCTCAGGCGGACAGATTTGAGTGCGCGTTTTTGATCGCTGGCGGCGGAGATGTTGATACGTCCATGAATGCGTGATCGAGAAGAGAGACATTTGGGGGGGACATTGTCAAGTTTCCTCGTCTTCTCGCACACGCCGGAGCCAGACGAAGGGGTGTGGGGGCCGGGCGTGAAAGAGTCCGGCTGCGGTGGGTGTGGGCTCTGGGTCTGTCCGTCATCCGCAGAGGAAAGCAGGGCCCCGTGCAATTGCGCGTGGGAAGAGCACCCCTCGCCCCACGCCGGCGTACACACGTATGCATGTGCACGGCCTCGCGTATTTCCATCACATCCCCCTGCGACTCCTCCACTTGCCCCCTTAATCTACTTTCTGAGGGCGAGTGGGAAAGAAAGCTAAACCTCCTCTCAATGGCCTTCCCTGGCAGGTTTTGACTCAGTGAAGGCCTGTAAATAGAGGGAGGCATTGGAAGGTCCTAATGATGAAATCTGGACCTCCGGGCCCTCCTGGGCGACGGGTGACTGTGACCTGGAGCATTTCGGTAGCAGACACACGTGTTTTGTGCGTGAGCGTGCATGGAGGTGCCTCTCTGGCTGAGTTCCGCTCACGCGAGACTCTTAGGCCGGGAGAGGAATCTTTGAATCAGCACCCCCCCACTTCCCAATCCCCCCCAACTCCGCCTCTCAGCTGTGGGAAGCGGACGCCGCTTCTCACTCGTGGAAATTCCCCTCCTTTATGGTCATCTTCTGGTACCAGCGACCTGGCACCTTTTGCTCAGTGGGCCGCCCAGCGCAGAGGTGGGCCTGGGAGTTTGCTGCTATCGTCCCACGATGGGACAGCAGGCATCCAGCACCCAGCCTTACCCCCGGGGACCGGTGGCCTTCGGGTGTGAGTGAGGGGACACCTGTGGGCGCGTGTGCACCGCAGGGGGCTCAGACTGGCACACGTATTTTGTGACCGGGCTGAAAAGCGGAGTGAGGTTTCCTTCACTTGAGCGAGGAGAGGGACGTCGGGGAGCCGTGGTTCTCACGGGGTGGGACCGGCACAGGCTCGCTTTGTTCGCTGGCCTGCATTTTAATCAGCCGCCTCTGAGGTTTGGGAAGCGAGTGGAGGGTCTGCTCCCAACACGGTGGGTGTTG